TGGAGAAGTGGGTCCAGGTGAACCTCATGAAGTTCAACAAGGCCAAGTGCAGTGTCCTGCACCTGGGTAGGGGCAATCCCAAGCACAAATACAGGCTGGGTGGAGAATGGCTCAAGAGCAGTCCTGAGGAGAAGGGCTTGGGGGTGTCAGTCAATGTAAAACTCAACATGAGCCGGCAGCATGCGCTTGCAGCCCAGAAGTCTAACCATAACCTGGGCTGCATCAAACCAAGTGTGGCCAGCAGGTGATTCTGCCCCTCTACTCTGCTCTCATGAGACCTCACCCGCAGTACTGCAACCAGTTCTGGGGCCCGCAACACAAGAAGGACATCAAGTTGTTGGAGTGGGTCCAGAGGAGGGCCAGGAAGCTCATCAGAAGACTGGAACACCTCCCCTGTGAGGACTGACTGAGAGAGTTGGGGCTGTTCAGCCTCGAGAAGAGAAGGCTCTGTGGGGACCTTATTGCAGCCTTCCAGTTCCTGAAGGGGTCCTATAGAAAAGCTGGGGAAGAACTTTTTATAAGGGCAGGTAGCAATAGAACCAGGGGAATTGGTTTTAAACTGGAAGGTAGATTTAGATGAGGTATTAGGAAGTAATTCTTTACTGTAAGAGTGGTGAGGCACTGGCACAGGTTGCCCAGGGAGGTTGTGGATGCCCCTTCCCTGGAAGTGTTCAAGGCCAGGCTGGTCAGGGCTTTGGGCAACCTGGTCTGGTGGGAGATGTCCCTGCCCATGGCAGGAGGGTTGGACTGGATGAGCTTTAAGGTCTCTTCCAACCTGAACCATTCTGTGATTCTATGATTGATTCTATGATAACTTATTATTTTTCCTTCAAAAAAGCATTGTAGATAAAGTCCAAGTTTTCACCATTACTGTCACAGGTTTTAAGAGGAATACAACCCCCAATTTTTAAGCCAAATGACAAGAAATAACCATGCATTTGGAGAGAAGTTTGAAGGAGTTTCTAGAAGCGTAAATCAGGAGTCTTCTAATATGCCAGCTTCAAGTCCCTTTCCATTGTAACTCCAACTGTCAGTGGAAGGTGATACCACATCTCTGGTACTGCCAAAGCTCTCTCAAGTTCTCTCCAGAGAAGGATATCACGGTAGATGGAATAAAACAGGCAAGAAGACAAAACAGAAAAAGGTTCCTTATCACAGAAACCAAGGTGTAAAAGGAAGCAAATTAATCCTGAGAAACATTAGAGGATGAAGGTCAATAAGCTTAGATCAGTGCACCACTAGTTTCCTATGTTTTGCTATTTATGTAACTTATAGCTAACAATCAAATCAGGAAGAAGGAAGGTGAATAAGCAATTACTAATGCTTGAGGGTTTTTTGATTCAATTTAGGTATTTCAGTTGAATATTTAAAGTTTGATAAAATGGGTCAGGGCCTTAGTTTCAATTAACCCTTCTTCCAGTTGTCTTTCTCCTTGCTAAAAATTTTCCTCTAAAAATGAATTAAAGACATCCCCTCTGTAGCAGGATATTTTATGTATGCCAAAAATAAAAACACAATTTCTAAAGAATTCATAGTCTGCAAAAGTAAGGTCAAAGAACCTGGATGTAGCACATTATGAAGAAGTTTTACAAGGCATGCAATAATTCAACTTGGCAACTCAAAAGCTGAATTTCACCAACACATCATGCGACAGCTGAAAAACAAATAACAGGATTGGCAAATACAGAACAGTCAAATTTTGTTAACAAAATCAAACCTCCTAAGATTTATACTAAAAGGATGTGCTGGAATTTAATTGTTTAAAAATTTTCCCCATAGCTCAAGTATTGAGAAGTTATTAAAACTGCCTCATAATTGACCTTAGTAATGTTTATAAACATGTAAAAGGTGAGTGTCAGGAGAATGGAGCCAGGCTCTTCTCTGTGACAGTCAATTATAGGACGAGGGGCAATGGGTGCAAGCTGGAGCATAGGAGGTTCCATGTGAACATAAGAAAAAACTTTTTCACTGTGAGGGTGACAGAGCACTGGACCAGGCTGCCCAGAGAGGTTGTGGAGTCTCCTTCTCCGGAGACATTCAAGACCCAGCTGGACGCGTTCCTGTGTGACCTACTCTGGGTGATCCTGCTCTGGCAGGGGGGTTGGACTGGATGATCTTTCGAGGTCCCTTCCAACTCCTAATATTCTGTGATTCTGTGAATAAGTGAGGCACTTGCTAAGACTGCAACACTGAGAGTATGGATGCTATAATCCCCTTTGCATCTACAAAAACAGAACAGCATAATATGAAATTTGACAGTACTATATACATTTTAAATTTGACCATTAAGGACAAAATCAACTGCAATCACAGGTGAGATCTGGAAGATTCTTTTATGGTATAATAAAGGAAATGACACTTTTTTCCTCTCAATTAATATTGGTGAAAAAATCACCAAGAATGATCATGGTAACTGATTAAAATGAGTTTACAAAAAGTACATTAAAAACCTTTAGAAACTAAAATAGCTTGGACAAATTTTTACTCCTCTTATTACTTCAATTTTATGCACAATACTGCTAATACAAACAGTACCCAAAATTTAACTGCTACTGACTGTTTGCTCTCACTGCAGTTATTTGCCGTTACTCGGCTTACACCTTCACATGAAGTTTTCACACAGTAAAACCAGTTATTTCAGTACTAAATTGGTAGCTCCACCTAGTGTTGTCCATGACCTATTCCAACAGGAACTGAAAACCAATGAGCTAGTTATAACACATAAGCTGTACACGGCTTTGCTTGCTGCTTGCAGAAGCAGTTCCTCACACACCTTGCACACAGAAGTGACACCTACACCCCCAAGCTCCATTTTCACCACCACTATGAATAGCTCTCATGGTCTTACATGTATGAAACATGTCAAAATCTTCTTTGTGTTGTCGCATTTCTGAAACAACAAAGTGCTGCTTTTAAAATCTCAAGGAGACAAAAAACTGTGTCAGAAATCTCCTGACCATGTACTCAGGGATGCATTTTGACCCCGTTGACTGTACAGCTATTGCTTCTCAAGATACATTAACTATGTATTGCTATCACTGTGACACACCCTTTCAGGCCTAGAAGTTGTTTCTCAGAAAGACTCTTCCTCTGGTATGGACAGAGCCTAGGGAATAGCAGACAGCTCATCTGTTCCTACTCTCTTCTGTGTTACAGATATCTGTCTCGATAATGCTCTTATTTGGTACCTGTGAAGCCTTTTGGAGAACGGTATTAAATTGACTTGGGAGTCAGTGTCTTCAACATAAGATGCCTGTAATCTGCATTTTTCTCTACCATAATTGCAGCAACAGCTTAGCTTTAGTCAGGGTTGTGGCAGAATGACTGCAGACAGGGGTGCAAAAGTAAAGCGTTTCATTTAGATACACTCTCCCACAAAAATCCCCAACCAACTGCATGGTGCACGTCTCAGCTGACCATGAAGAAAACAAAGCATTTAGTTGTTTTAAGTCCTATTCCCCCCTCCCGAGAAGGGCACTGCCACAATGACCCACTTCTGTCACCTCAAGAACAGCTTGCTGACATTCCCTTTAAAGCGGTTGCACCCTACAATCTGGAAGTGTCACTCAGTAGAAATTCATTGGCTTCTTTATAAAAAGAGAATCCCAGTTTTTTTGTATTGCACACACTGTACATTCTTCCAATTTTATAGCTGGTTTGAATTTTAAAAGTTTTGGTTTTGAACCACAAATCTCAAAATAAAGTGGAGTCACAGAACCTGGAGAACACCTCTTTCCCTGCACATAACCAGGGTGGCAGATCACCCCAGTTTAAATGACAGTCTGACAAATGCACGGGAACTGCGGTGAGCATTTTGACACAGACAGATATCTTTCCCCCAAAGACAGCATTCGCTGTATGTTATGTTGCATTGTTCATTTTTTATCTTACACACAGCCATAGACTGAGAAGGAAGAAAAATAATTAGTTAGATGTTGTGGAGTCCGCATTATAAAGACACACAGGGAATACCTACTTTTTTCAAATACATATACACAGCAGTCATAAGTGTGTCACACACCCATCTCTACAGCATGAAATAAACTGGTGATTAGTTCAACGGGAACTTCTATTTACAACAGCCAAGTTAGTTAAGTGGTGATACCTACGAAGCATTGTCTGTTTCTGGAATGAAATATTATGCAGCCTATAATATGACTACCAAGTCTGCACGTAATAAGAGTTTCATTAAAAAGCAAGTTTCCCATTTCACCAATGATATTTGTACTCAGTTCACCAAAATACTAGTTGCAGTAACATTTAAATCTCAGGATAACCTGACTTAATAATTCATTAAGAATGTTAAATCCACAGACCACAAGATATTTTTTCTTTTTCACCAACATCAACCTGTAAGCTCGTTTTTTAATCTAAAAATCCTACTACTAAAGCTATTAACAAGTGAGCAGATGGAGCAGTTTTGAGTCTTTCATAATGGCTGAACAGAATCAAAACTTTCTCCACAAAATAACAGCTACAAGAACTGAAGCCTAAAGTTTTTGTCACAGAAAAGCAAACCCTGAGCTGCTGTCCCCTGACACCACGTTCTCAATGGCGTCTTTCACCTGGAATTCACATTCTGGTGTCTGAAGAGTTTGCATGACTCTCCTCCAGGACTTGCTGAAGCTGTATATAATTTAGTGACAAAATCCAGGTTTAGTGTCACAGAGGGAAAGGGATGACCTGGATCACAGAATCTGGTCTGTCCTGCCATCTCTGGAACCGCTTCAGTCTGCTCTGCAGGTCCGTAGAAGGTGCTGGACTTGGACTTCAGAACTCACTCCTAAGAGCCAGAAACCTTGACATTCTGAGTCTCATTTTATTTAGGACCATTTTCTTCTCATGACAGCACTATTCTTCACCTTAAGTAGCCTACAGTAAGTCAATTAATGAGCAATCTGTGTTCTTTTTTTAGCCGTTATGTCTATAGATTTTTAAGCAGTTCACTTTCCCAAATCTTAAAATAAATAAATAAAACTATTTAAACACAAAGCACCTACCTGTAAGCATTAATGTAATCCTTTCTGTGTTGCAGAAGAAAATCCTTCAGCTTTCCAATATGAGAAATCTAAACAAACGGAAATCATAATTAAACTTCATTCAGATTACTTCTATGTTTAAAGTTCAGTATTCCACACTTCAAACATGAATTAGCAAAATTATTTATTCTGCAATTAAAGAGAATCATGAAATTTACTCTTTTATACTGGAATTTTCACATTTTGCAAGCACTCAATACTGAAAAAAATCTAAAAAAGATCTGTTGTATGAAAGAAGAACTCAGGAAAGTAGTAAAAATACATCCTCTATCCAAAAGTCTTAAACTGAACACTACTAAGGCACTAGAATGTAACTACAACATTAAACATTTAAAATATTAAACATTAAAATAATAACATGAAACACCATCTAAACTGGCAATCAAGAATCTAATGTATGTTTTAGAAAATAAACTCATTTTAGAAGATAACGCAAGAAAGTTTTAAACATTTTATTAAGTACGATATTCAGGTTCCGTTATTAGAACTTGTAGAGCAACGTGCTGCCTCTCTTTGTTTTTGCAATAATACAGTGACCAGTTTGTGCTCGAACTGAAATACAGTATCTGCAGTACATAGAGGTGCAGTATCTCTATAATCTGATAATCATCAGTAAGTTTTGCCAGAGGATACAACCCTATCGAATTTCTATTTCTGGATTTCCACTTCACTGTAAATACATTTTGATGTAAATCCATTTGATTTTCCTTATTAAGAGTCTTAACAAAGACCCTTCAAAAAGATGAAAACATCTATTTTAAAAATATCTGAAAGATCTTTGGCAAACTTTAGTCTGATTTAAAAGATTTGGTGTAGCAGAAGATGCTGCTTATTTTAGAGAATGGAGGAACTACAGAAATCTGGTTTAATTGGCCAGAGAAAGGAGGTGACAACCAATACAACTTCCTGGGCCATTCCTGAAGGAGAAGGAGGAGAATTATATACATTAGTGCTATATAATTTCAAGAGGGAGGTAGGTGAAACCTTTCTAAAGCCTATTATCCAATATTCATTAATAATTCAGTGTAAAAAATAATGCAAATAATTTTACAAAACAATAGTTGGTTTAGTTTATAAATACAATAAAAGGGGTTTACTCGTGTATCTGGGAAAAAGCACCAGAAGCTGTTCAAGTCTTAAAATCCTATTTTCATGCAAATGTCCCCTCTAATTAAATAAGTAGCAAAAAAAAAAGAGAAAGAACACAGAATAGTTGATAAATAGAAGATTAATTCCCCAATTATTTTTTTTAAAGATCAGCAGCTCTTTGAAAAAAGAGGAAAAAACATACTTAGTAAGACCACAGTGATTTGTACAACTAAAAATAAGTGTTTCTTTGTACAAACAAATACACATACATTCCTTATTATTGTTTGCTCTGTTTTACTTTTGCCACAACTCATTGTATTGGGTAAGAATTTTCCCAGTTTTCATGTGGTTAACAGCACTGGAAATATCACTCCATTCATAGCACACTGAGTTCTGTTTGCTCTGTACCTCCAACAGATCCCAAGTTTCCTAAGTGTGTCAGCACCATCACAAGCAGTAAGAAGGGAAATACCGAAATCAGTACAAAATCAGTGAGGCGCAAAGAATAAGCTCAACCATTCTACAGATGTTCCTTCTCATCACCACCGGAACTTATTTTCTGTATACTAATCCCTTTCTGCACTCAGACTTGGTATGTCATGAAATTTGCTGAATAGGTAAATTAAGCTTGACTATGAAAGCAAAACATTTAAAACAGTCATACAGTGTTTCAGTAGAACAATGACACTTAACAGGCAGAAAGAAAGTACTACAGAGGACAAAGAGTAGAAATGTGAAATAAGAAACACGTTTCAAAGCATTTACATTAATATGTGAACAAACACTAAACCAGAAAAGAGATTAACAAAATTTTATAAGTCATCATAAATCTTTAAATTATTGCAATAGCTACAATTTAGGAGTGATTAACAAGCAGAAAGAATCGGAATGACAAGCAAGAACACTGTCTTACAGTAATTAATTCATCTAGCCACAAAGAGCATTCTATTTAGGCTAAAATTGTCATCGTGTGTTTGAATTGCACTGACCCCACTTTGCCTCTCCTTCATTTGTAAAGCTATTTTCATGAATTTAGAATGACACCATTATGCCCATACTCACATCGAGCTCTCAGTTCCCAAGATTTGCATCAGAAGTGAGACTTCTTGTTCTACTTTCCCTCAAATTCTAACAGCACGTTCTGCCATCCCGCACCGCTACTATTTCTCTTTTACCTTTTCTTACCGTGTACTACTGGCATAGCTTTGAATTCAATTTATTACAGTATCAGCAAAATTAAACAGTTTTTCTGAAAAAGAAGGTCTCACTAATATGAAAGGGAATTTAAATTTTATTTTAAAAAAAATTAATACAGTGCTTAATCTTCTGCAGACACAGAATATCCCCAAGTATAGAAATGTAAGACTTGAAGAGATCTCCAGGATCATCAGCTGCAGTGATTCTGAGGTTATCAGAGACACACCATATGCTCTTTACAAAGTCAGCAAGCTCCAGTCTGAAAGTAATAAAGCATGTCCCTATTCCAGCTAAATGGCTTTACTAAAATCCTACTGCTCCTATTACAACTAAGAGCTGCCAAATTCCAAGGTTTACAGATTATTCATTTCTGTACACCTGTTCTTGCTTCAAAACATATCCTTCCTTAAAAGCCCTGGTCCCCTGGATGTGTTTGAGTCTACTGTCAATAACCCTATCTCCTTCTAAATTCTGGAGCCCCAGAGAAACAACCCCAAGCTTTTAGTTTCCTCTCACAAGACAGTTCTGAAGTTGCCTAACCTTGAACTTCCCTTTGCATCTGCTCCAGTTTGTATCCATCCTTTTCCAGTGCAGATGACCAGAACATTCACTGGCGTTAGCTACTTTGTGACTCAACTGGAAATGGCTTTTCTTCCACCATTTTCATGTACTAGTTTCAAGCTTATTCTTTGTTTAGGTCTCTAAATGCATATCCTACTGCTGAATTTCTTTATTCTCCCCACAACTCCAGCCTCTAGAGTCGTTCAGCACTTGCTGTAACATATCATGCTCCTCCCTCTTCTTCCCCTCAGCATTCCCTCATCAGTAAATTTCACCAATCGGTCTCACTTTTTACATTGCCCATAATAAGAACAGAACTAAACAAGATGAGTTTTAAAATCAACCCAAGAGTAATTTCACTACTGACCTCTCTTCAGCTCAATACAGAAACATTCCTTCTGCATGTTCACCTTATTCAGTTAGTATCTTCTCTGCTAATCTCCTCTAGACTTCCTATTAGCACTTTTATCAGACACTTTACCATCAGACACCAGGTCTTAACGAAGGAAAAGCAGGTTTTCTTAAAGCATCAAGTTGGTTGGGCACTTCCTATTTTTAGTATGATAGCAAATTATACTGCATTGTATCTTGCTTTCTGTTCATCTTTTTCCCCTTAAAATAATTTCTGAAGCCTGGACCACTTCTGAGTCAGGCCCTGCTGATGCCGTTATCAGTTTCCCTTAATTATATCCACTTAATTATATGCATTAAATTTGCTGCCCTCTGATCAAAGGGTACCACCTTCAAGTCAATGTATTTTCATTAAAAATAGCTGCCTTCAGAACTTGGGATTTCTCAAATCCACTGTGCCTAAACTCAACCCAGAGATTATCTGATAGCCATGATTTGACTGCATTAAGAACTCTGAGATTTTGCAGAAACGTCCAATTCCAAGCTCTGGTTTGCAGTATTTACCTTGCTTCTACCCTGCTGGTCCATGGCTTTTTACTTATTAATTTAGCCTGGAGACCATGTCCAAACTATTCTTAATCCACATTTCAGCTGCATGACAAATCCACTTTTTTGCCAATTCTCTTTTAATTTACATAGCTAAAGAATATTTTAACTTTGGGGGGGTTTAATACCATTAGTTAACTCACTGTGAATTTTGCCAAACCTGACTTTATCTCTACAAAGCCCTCCCTTCTGCAACAGTTTTCTTGGCCAGGCTCGTTCTCTCCCCCGCTGCTTTTTACTGCCTCTGGCCTAATTTTCTGTATCTTCTCTAATTAATCTTTCAAGTAGACCTAGAACAATTTTAAATCCCACTTGCATTTCAGCATATCCATTTTTCCACTCCATTTACCCATTCATCATAACCGTAACTTCCTATTTGCTGTATATGCCCGTTTTCAAAACAACGACACTGCAGTCAACACAGCCGCCAAAACGATAGATGAGAGTAATATGAAGACTAAGCACAGACACATCTGAGTGCTGGCCTCCTGTCATGCTTCTCATTCCCTGCCTCTGGAAATAAACTTTTTTCTTCTCTGAAAGTCTGAAGCAAGAAATAAGCCTCTCCTTCAACACTGAAATAATGAAATAATTGCATTTTTTCCCCTGAAGGGATAGGACGGCTTAGAGAAATGCCCTTTATATTTGCAGCACTCTTGCACTACATTAAGACAAATCTTACGGAGAAGAACACTACTGAATTTCCAGATACAATTGACATTTTTATGAGAATCATGGGGGAAAAGAAATCTCCTCTCAATATTGCCAAGATCAGTTATATTGCTATACTAACAGCACGTTCTTGAGCACCTGTTCATTACCAGAACACAGAGGGTTACATTCTTTCTGACCACGAAAACTGCTTACGAAACTCCAAGCTCTCCCTCTTCTCTTCCCATTCCCACTGGCACTCCCATGTGGGGCAATACCCACACCAAAACAGTTAAATTACTATTTTTTTTTTACTTACTCTTCTTGAAATGGCTGTTAGTAGTATTCAAGACCAAATATAAAGAACCAGTTTCTTTAACTTCAGATCCACAAATACCTGTATCAGCACAAGAGAGAGCAGAAGCTGGACAGTATCAGTAGGGTACTTTCTAAAAGATACATCTGCTGTGAAAGGAGGTATATTTAGTTACAACTTAAGAAACTTAAAATAATACGCTCCTAAGCTCTGATATGAAAGCTGGAGACTCCAGGTATTATTTTAAACGACCTAAGT